TTTACTCTGGCTACTGTATGAAGCCAGTGTTGATGGGGGAATAGAGTGGAAGCAAGGAGACTAGTCAAGGACTCCTACAACCATCTATGTGAGCAGTGGAGATGGCTCAAATCTGGAGCTGTGAGGTGAGCTTGGGAAATGGTCTGGCGGGAGATCCAATAGAATTTGCCAATGGAGTAGATGGGAGGTGAGAGAAAGGGAAGCATGAACATACCTTCCAGTTTTCTGTTTATCAGGTTCAAACTGTTTACCAAGACAGGGACATCTGGGGAGGCGGTTCTGGATAGGGACCGCAAGTTCAGCTTTCGTGGCAGGAAAATGAAAGAATCACTCCTGGTGTTTCAGCTGTCTTGAGGGTGGGGCCTGAGGGGCTAGAGGGATCCACTCTGGTGACTGAGGGCCCCGTTGAGGCTGACTGTGGATTTGCAGGGGCACTGCCCCAGGTAGCTGGGCATTCTCCTAAAGAATTCAGGAGAAAAAGGCAGAGGGTTTGCGGAGCGATTGGAGCTAGGCCAGTGCGGACATCTTGATGGAAGAGTTAAGGTGTCAAGGTCTGAACTGGACAGAAGGGAGCGAGCAGTCTGGAGCAGAGTTCACGGTGGGGGTCTGAGGGTCTTAGCATCTACAATGTCAGGGATGGAACCATTTGGGTGAGGTCAAGAGGGAGCAGCCATGTGAACCGGAGGCTGAAGTTGAACGGAACAGAACCCAGCGCCATCTGGGAGATCCAGGAGGTGTGGGGAGAGTGAGGTCCCCAGGATAATGCTTGAGCCTGTGACAATAAGAGGACATTGAGAGAGATGCCTGTGTCCTGTGTGGGCAAAGAAGGTGCCACAGGACCTGTGGCAGGTAATCCCTGTGAGTGAGGAGGGAGGTAGAACAGCGAGCACCAGAGAGAGCAGGGGTGTGTGCAGGATGGTGAAGGAAGGGCCAAGTGGGGAGGCCAAGGCAGGAAGAGGCTGACTTGCATTCTCTCCACTTCCCTTTGCCCTCAAGGAAGGTCTGCTCTTTAGCCTGGTACATAAGGCCCTTCTGGAGGATTTCATTGACTGTCTTCTTTCCCACCTCTTTCAATCTAAATCCCTACAAGCAAAACTACTTATACCACTAAGGGCCCCATGATGTGTCAGGCCTCTGGGCCTTTGCACATGCCACTTCCATGGCCTGGAAAGCAATTCATCTTGTTTGCCTAGAAAATGCCAACAAGTCTTTCAAGCATCACCTTGGAGAAGCTTCTCTGACTCCATGAAGGAGTTGTGATCACCCTTTCCTTTGTGCCTTCCTTTGACTTCATCTATGTGGTCTCATAAATCTGCCTTCCACCTAGACCAAGAGGTCCTTAGGAAGACAGTGTGATACTCATTTCTCTAACCTCCATTCCTAGCCCAGTGCCTGAAATATAATACTCAGTTAATAATAAAGGAAAGGACAACATAATAGCTAATTATAAGAGCCAGCATCTACTAAGCACTTACTGTAATCTTAACACTGTGTTAAGCTCTTTAAATGCATTACCTTATTTAAAAATGGTCATGGAGTAGATACTGTTACATGCCCACTTTACAAATGAGAAAACTGAGTTTCAGGCAGGTGTGGTGAGTTGCCCAAGGACACTGAGCTAGGCAGTGGTAGAGATGGGCTTCTAACTGAGACTGGACACTATCCTATATTGCCTCCAGAATGAAGAATGATAAGAACTCATTGTCAGGAGACTAAGGAATCTGCAGTAAATTAACCATAACAAAGTCAGCTTTTCTTTAATTAACAGTGATGATTACAAACACTATTAGTTGCCTACTCAAATTCCCATTTTCCCTTGAAAAAGAGTTCTATACCTGCAAACACTCTTCCACACAAAATTCAGATGAATCCTTACTGATCTAAGCTAATCTTAGTGGTATTATCCCTCTTGTCTGTGATCAGTTTATTGCTGGGTATGTGATCCACAGTTGTTAAATTTTTTAAAATGTGATATATAAATACGTATATATGTATATGTATTACATTTTACCATTGAAAATGGTCATTTAATTCTTTTTTTAAAAGATTTATTTATGCATACAAGAACTGGGGTATAGGTAAGAGGTGCAGGGTAGTGGTGACAGGATTCACCAGAGACAGAGGGGGAACAGAACAGGTGGATTGACTGAAATACACTGCTGAGGGGAGCAGCAGGTGAGACAGGAGAGGTCTGCTGTGCCATGTGGGCCAGCTCCCTGGCCAGAGATTGAATTCCTGCTAAAGTGTCTGTCAATAGCTTGATAGTGCCGAGACCGAGCCCCTTGCGCCACCAGGGAGGCCCTAAGTTAATTTTTAAAGAAGAAACTTGTTGGACTTGGTGAAGATGTGGTGCCTGGAGCTGCTACAGACACCTTGTGATCATGAGTGAGGATGGTAGAATGAGAATATAGGGAAGAATCTTATCCATGTAGCTGCCGAGATGCTGGATCGTTCTTGATACATGAAATAATAAACCACCTTGCCATCTAAACTGTTTTGAGTTGGTCTTCCAGGAGTTGTAACTGAAAGTATACGAAAACAGTGACAGTTGAGTTAGTAGAATGGTTCTTGCCTGGTGACAGATTACACAAAGTAGAAGGAACTTTGCCAGTCTCCAGTGGCCACTGCCCTGATATTTGGTCTTTTAATGAGAAATCATTCTCATCTTGGCCCGGGTGAGGAGAGATAGTGACCTGGGACATCACCACAGAGGGTACCGCCCTGGCCACGTGAGGGTTCTGTTCACCAAATATGGATGAAGTAGGTCCTTGGTGCTGGGATCATAAGCATGGCTCAAATAGTCCCTGCTCTGGAGGCGCAGTGGGAGAGATGCTCTCAGACCAGGGATGAACAGTCTACACAGCCTGCAGGCTGATTTGCAAGGTAACTGGTGAACTTCTGATAGGTTTTATGAAGGGTGACAAGAGAAGTCAAAGAAAAAAGGTATTTCTCAGCAGAATGAGTGTATGTAAACTCAGGGCAACAGGACTCTCTCAGGAAACTATCAGTCATTTAGCATAATGGGAGTGGCCTGGCCACTTACAGGTCCTAAGTCTGAGCAATTTATTTGTCATCTCTGTGGCTCAAAACTCACATTTATAAGAGAGAAAAGAAAGGAAGGAAGGGAGGGGGAGAAGTTTGTCTTGTGAAATTAGGTAACGATATATATGCCAGGCATAGTGGTGGGCATATATTAGGTGCACAAGAAATGCTCTTTATTACTCATCCATGATTGTCACATGGTTCTAATTCATTATCTTCTCTGACCCAGGTAGCTTTCTTCCCTTCTCCCTCATTCCTGAGTCTAGAAGCAAGGCCCCCCAACTCCCACAGACTTTTCCTCAGGCAGGAAACCCGAGCCCACTGCCTGGCCTAAGACAGCTTCTAGAGCAGGGTGGTTTGTGTTATTTCTCTTTCTCTCTTTCTCTCTCTCACCCTCCCTCCTCCCTCCCTCTCTCTTTTCCCTAAATGCAACAAAATAAAACCAAACAAAAAGCCCAACGCCTGGCGTGGCTTGTCAGGGAGTTATGCAAGTGTGTAAAAAAATAAAATAAAATAAACATTGAGTTTTCAGCATTTGGGGCTGTTTGATTAGGCACAGAGCAGAGCCAAGGGCCACTGAGAGGTAGAGAAGGCTGGGGCAGAGGGGAGAGGGGAGGGGCTCCAGAGGGGCTTAGAGTGGGCTCAGAACCAACTCAGAAATGATTGTTTGTCTCCTGCAAACTTGGCAATACTCTGGCTGAGTGGGCCCAGACACTAGGCATTTGGGACCCACTGCTCCAATGCCTCTGGCCATCCACCATCCCTAGTCCCTGACCGTCAGCACACTCCAGGGATCGTTCTGTCCATGCTCCTGTCACTATCAAAACCCTGTGCCCTTGTCTCAATAATCAGGGCTCCCCCTCTCCTGTGGAGGTTTCACAGCTGTCTAGAGTACTCTCACACACCCCCATCACCTCCCCCAGTCAGTACAGCTTTTCTAACTTAACTCCTGCTAACTGGAGTTAGCCCATTTTCCCTTTACCAGCCTGGAATGAAGCTGGAGAACAGCTGTTTGCCACCCTAAGGAGTGCGTCTCCCTCCCTGGCTTCTTTAGGTTGACTTCAGCATCATCTGGGTCGCTGCAGGTGTCTGCAGCCCTTCAAGACTCACTCCGCCAGCACTGACAGAGCCCCTAACATTTACCAGGCATCTGCATCCTTCATTCACTGATCTCTCAAAACAGATGAGGGCCTAAGCTTCAGAGGCCTTAAGTAACTTAGGTATGGTCACACGATTGCTAAGTGATGAAGCAGGAATTTGAATCTAGGTTTTACTCCAAAATCTCCCTCCTTGCAGGTAGAAGTGTCCTCACCGGCCTGCTCAGGACCTTGTGACCTCACATTTCCTCTGGCCTGGGAAGATGCTCTAGAGACTGGACCCTGAGAGTAGGAGGGCGTGGCCAGGACCCCGTAGAGCCTGTTCCTAGTCCTCGAGAGAAGGGAAACTGAGGTTTGGGGAGGCTCCCAGGCCCCTGTTCTGACCCCCTGATGCCCGGGAGCTGCAGCCCGGGCTCTGACTGCCTGGAATGCGCGGGTGCGGGGCCGAAGGAGGGGAACAGGCAAGGGTGGAGGGTCTGCGCCAGGGCCCAGAGGCGTGTGTTTCTGCCAGGTCTGCGCTCCGGAGCACAGCGCCCCAGCTTCGGCAAGGGCATGCGGGAGGGGGCTGCGGGCTCCCGGGCCTGGCGCTCCAGTCCGTTTTTTGCTGCGGATCCCGGGCAGGGGGGCCGGCTCGGGGGTGGGACTGCAAAGGGGGGGGATTCCCTCCCTCGTGCGAGCGGAGGACTGGCCCCTCTCCGGACTGGGACCGAAAGCATGAGCGCTGAGAGAGCCTGGAGCTGACCGCCAGCCCGGGGCACCGCGGCCGGCGAGCCACCCCACAGGACCGATGCGCGGGGTGGGGCGCTGGCCCCCGAGGGCGTGAGCCGCCCGCAGATTGTGCAACTGGGGAACTGGCGGGCCGAGCGCGGGTGAGCGGGCGCTCAGGACAATCGCTCGGCGGGCGGGTGAGCCGGCCTCGCCCTCACCCTCCCGGGCCTGCCCCTGCCGCGGCTGGCAGCGCGGAGGTGAGTCCCCCCTTAACTGCCCCGTCCGCCTCTCTGGCTCACTCTAGCCCCGAACTTCGGGCGCTGCGGGTGCTCGCGTCGGGGCTCGGCGGAGCTGAGTGCTGGGGGAGCCGGAGGAAGGGACTTCTGACTGCTCGCCAGACAGTGAAGGTGGACGAGTGCATCTCTTGGGGATGCCCACCCCACCTCCTGCAGGTCCTGTCGTCCCCCAACCTCCCGCGTCGCCCCTCAAGCCAGCGAGCAGCACCCTCTCGGGGGGCTGATGGGCTCCCTCGACCCCCAGCCCTGCACGATCGTCCTCACTTGTTCCGAATTCCCCGAGTCGACCAGCCCTATTCATCACCACCCCCAATCCAGAAGCTCCCCGCTTTCAACGTCCAGATTCCCCCGACTCCCACGGCCCGTGGTTACCCCAAACCCAATCTCGCACCCGGGGTCGGGGCTCGCGGGGGCAGCCGGCTTGCGCGGGGCGCTGCGAGGTGGCGCGGCTCGCTGGCCGCGGGGTCGGGCGCTGGGGCATGCGTGGGGATGCTTAGTTGGGGAGAAGAGGGAGCTGCGTCTGCCCGGGGCTCCCCGGAAAGCTCAGAGAGGTTCTGGGCGCGGGTACTTGGAGGCAGGGGCTTTCTTCTGTGAAGCCTGCGTTTCCGACTTGCTGCGTTATCTTGATTTGGGGGGACTGGCAGGGGGGCTCCCCTCTCCCTGCACCTGTTGGGAGTCCCCAGATAGTGGGAAGGGAAGGAGAATTTGCGCGCTGGAGCTGAGATGGAGGAACGTGAAGGAGACTTTCCCCGCTGCCCTTACTGTTGGGGGTGCGGGTGGGGGTGGGGAGAAGGCCCTGCACCTGGCTTGGCTCCGGCTGACTCAGTAATCCCAAGGGGTCAGGCAGACCAATATTTGGTCCCGCCCCCCGCCCAGCTCTTCTTCTGCCCCCGCCCACCACCCCGCTAGGTGGCCAAAACTCCCCACCCTGTGGCGGGTCTTGGGGAGGGCTAATGAGAAATTGTCGGAATGGTTTAGGATTCGGGGTCTGTATCCGGCCCCCGACGAAGTACCAGTTTATCCTGGTAACGTTGCGGACAAAAAGGTGAAAGTTACTCTATTCTTGCTGAGGAGGGTCTGTCCTCAGCTCCATATCCCCCCTCCCCTACGCACCTGTGACCTCCAGAATCAGTGTCCTCTTCGCCCTAGACCACCTAGCGAGCGGTCTTTCTCCCTGGCATCCAGACCCAACTCTGCCAACCCCTTCCCCACCTCCTGGATCTATTCTGGAAGCCAGGTCCTGCCCCCACACTCGCAGATCTCTTGCCCCACCCTTCAGACAGACACCCAGTCCAGAGTAGCAAATCCCATGGTCACTGACTAGGTTTGTGGCCCCAAGAGCCTTCCCCTCTCAGCACCGGCAAGGTGGGAATAATTCTATTTTCCTCTTAGAGTTGTGGATGGTTAAATACGGACCTAGCACAGGGCAAGTTGTGCACCTTATGATGTGAGCCCCTCACCCTCAACCTTGAAGAACAAATGCCCTTCCTTACTTCACAGATGCCTGAGACCTTGAGCAGTTCCCACCACTGGCTCTGCCTGTGCAGAGAAATGGGCCTCCAAAAATGAACTGCCTGTGCCATGTAGCCCCAGGGGTAAAGGAGATCAGAGAGAGCAACCCACAGAAATGACGCAGGCCACTTAGAAGAAATCATCAGCTCCTGTCCCCTCTCTTTGCCCTGATCTGCGTGGTCTGTGCGTCCAGTGTGCATGGGGGTGGGGGAGGGACTAGCTGCAGGACATGGGTGCAGAGCTTGACCTTCTGGGGCTTGATACTGCAGACCTGGCCAGTGTTTATAACATCAGATTTCACATAAATTTTAAATGTTCAACTTCTCTTTAAAAAAATCAGATCTGGCAACATCGAGTCATTATTTCTGCCTGTTGACAGTCAACTGGAGTTGACTAGCACATACTTCCTTAGGGGAGGCACTGAACCTCCATTTCACACCCTCCCCCACCAGGAACCTTCCCTTTTCCTTCTGTTTGGTGCCTCTACTCCTAGCAGGATGAACATTTAGCTCCTTTTCAGGACTGATCCTATAGGTTGGTTCTTCTTTTTTTATTTTAAGTGCTCGAAATTCTCCCCCCACCAGGGATAGGTGAGGGAGGCCGGGGTCACTTGCTGCAGTGAAATTCAGATCCTCCTGCCCATTTCCAGGCTGAGATCATGTTTCACATGGTGATTCAGGTGGGAATGGGGCAGGAGATGTTTGCTGACAAGGCCTTGGTGGGCACAACAGGAGTCAGGCTGGAAGCTAAGACCTGGGCCAATTTAGACAGGAAGAGGGAGGGAGGCAGCGAGCCACTATTTGTCCAGCACTAACCTTGACAGTGTGCATGTGGGCAGGCACAGGGAGTGCAGAGATGCTTCAGAGACCTTCTCTGCCCCCAAGCACCCCAGGCGTACTGATCACAGCGTGGGATCAAAGTCTCACAGACCCAGGATTTAACGCCAGGTTTGACGTGGTTTTTTTCAGTGTTTGGCAAGTATAAGGACTCATGGCACCCCAAGCACAGATCAGCCAGGGTCCTCAGGCTACCATTTGAGAAGGGGTTAACCCTATCACTTTGAATGATCACTTTGGTTGAAGGCAATCAACCATAAAGATAAATGCAAATAGGGAAATTGTAAAACAGTGCTGAGATTAAAGTTAGTATACGATGATGATACAAAAACTGTTTCCGTTGCTTTTCAAATGTCCATTGAAATGTAGACATATAACAAAGTCTTGCTCATAAAGAAATACAATATATATCACTGTGCCTTCACTATCTATTCTAAGCAGTCTATTAACTCATTTAAGTCATAAAAAGCACACAACCCCCTTCAGGCCCAGACTAGCTTAGCAGCTAGCCCAAGGTAACAGCTAATAAGTAGCAGAGCCACCATTTGAAGCCCGGCAAACTGACTCTGAAGTTTATGCCCTTAACCATCATGCTTGATGGCCAACCTGAGACTATACACATGGGGTGGAAGACTCCAGATTGATAACCTCCATATGGGGGTGTGTTGTGGGGCCTGGGGAGGATGGGGAGGCTTTAGCAGGTCGTAAAGGGAGTACTGGAGGGGCATGTAGGGGCTGGCATTTGGGGGTGGCCAGGGGCATCTCTGCTGGCTCGGACCACAGCACCAGGTGGGATCCATCAGCCTCGTGTAAACATGTCTCACAGGCAGCTTAACCACTTGAGTGTGTCTGGCCTTCAAAGTTGGTGGGAGAGGCTGAGGAGGGAGGTGCTGAACTCCCTGGTGGGGTGATGATTTATCTCCGTGCAGGTGGGCTCTACTGGGGCCTCCCTGAGAGGCGAAGAGGAAAGGATTGGAATAGGGGGAGGGAGGGCACCTCTGCGCCAGCATTTCAGAGCTCTCATTCTGAGAAAACAGCCAACTCTCAGAGCAAGCCCATAAAACAGAACATAGGCATATTTACCCCCATTTCATAGATGAGGAAACTGAGGTTCGGAGAGGCGAAAGTGACCTGTCCAAGGTCATCAAGCCAGTGGATGGGGATGCTTTCCTGGAAGTAGATGCTTTCCTGGCATCTACAAAGCAAAAGCCCCATGACTTGCTAGTCTGCAGGTCCCAGGGTGTGTGGCACAGCATGTGGAGGGGACGTGTGGACAGGTCTCAGTTGTGAGAGCATGTTGGGAGTGGGTGATCCCGGGTGTGTGGAGTGGGGTTCTTCATCCTCCGACTCCTAGGTTGAGCTCCAACTTCCCAGACACATTTCACTGGGGAGGAACCAGCCCCCTACCCCCATCACCACAGCCAGTGGGTCCAGAGACCTGGCTCTTGCTGGGCTGGGGATTATCCCCATTCTCTGTGTCTCTGGCCAGGGCGGGCATCGCAGCCTCTTTTATCCTCTCACAAAGGCCAGGCCCGCCAGGCCTGCTGTGTCAGAGTTTCTGCTGCGGGGGAAGCCTTCCTTCCTTCCCTCCCACCAAGCCCAGAGGGCCGTGCAGGGACGGCCAGCTTGTCCTGGGACCACCACTCTAGCTCCAGGACACATGAGAAGCACAAGGGCAACTCAGCCCTGGTTAGAGAAGGCTGAAGGGTCACTGGGGGAAGGACAGAGAGTTCCTCTTTGGGAGACAGAAAATTACTACAGCATAAGGTCTTAGGGTAGACCTGAAGAAGAACTTCCAGTTAGAATGGGCCAACATTGAGCAGGGGTAGGACCAGCTTGTTCCCAGTGGTTCACGGGTTTGGTTTGAGTGGCCACTGCGTATTCCAGCTGCTTGGGTAGTCAGCTCCTGTCCCAGGCTGAGGCATTCTGCGAGGTGGGAAACAGAGTGGACTTCTACAGGGGTGCCACAGGTGGGCGCTTTGTCATGTCCAAACCTTCTGAGTTCTCCGAGTCTCCCGGGTAGGGGACCACACGGGAAGGGTAGAAGCACAGGTTGGGGGAATGAACCCCCTTGGTACCCCAGATTAACACTCTGTCTTCTCTCCTAACAGGTTGGTCTTTGGATGTACCCCTGCTGAAGTGACAAAGATCTCCCACGTGACACCCTGAGGTGCCTTTGAGGAAAGCTCTCTAGACCTCCTATGGGCCGAGGGGGAAGTGGGTTGCCCACACCTTCTATGTCCCCAGCTGAGATTATGGTGGATTTTGGACACGGCCCAAGCCTGGGCCTCCTGCCACTGACCCAGCCCCGGAGGCGTTAGCAAGAGCCCGGCGCCCCCGTCCACCAGAGACCCCCTCCTCCCAGGGGCCTGTTGCTGGCGAGTGACTATGCGGCTTGGGCTGTGTGTGGTGGCCCTGGTTCTGAGCTGGATGCACCTCGCCTCCGCTGGCAGCCGAGGGCTCAAGGGGAAGAGGCAGAGGCGCAGTGAGTAGTGGGCCGCGGGGCCACCCGGGCCTTGGGTGTGGAGGGGGCACTTGGGGAGTAGAGGGCCTTCTGGGAGTTTCACTCTGTGAGGACCGTTGCAGATTCGACTTGCCTGTTACGGCTGTGTAGATTGCTCAGTAGATGATCCTGTTTGTGGATTATCCCGTTTGATTAATTGGTTGAAGTGACTCGCTCTGTAGATTACTCACTTTGTCTGTTTTCCCCTTTGTAGACTCTGCTTTCTAGATTAACCCCTCTCCTGTGAGGGTCCAGTTTGTGGATTATGCCCTTTGACATTGCACCTGCTTTGTATGGTATCCATGGAGATGCTTCCTGGCCCCAGGCTGGTGCTTGGTCCCCTGCTCACTGACAGGCCTTCAGGGCTGCTTCCTTTCAGTGGGGGCTGAAACGCATCCATCAACTCCTTTGGACCAAGAACTCACTGCACAGCTTGGCGGTAGCTTTCTGGGCCCAGATCATGAGGCAGAAATGGTGGCTGGTGTTGGGGGTCATGAGTCTGTCCTCTCCTATGGTTTTTAACCTTGCCCAGAAGAATTCAGGGGCCTGCATTGGGAGGGAAAGGGAAGCAAGAGGGAAGGAGTCCCTCCCCACAGCCCTTCTGACCAGAGCCGTTTGTTTCCCTTTCCCCTCCTCTTGTCAGGCTTCCTTAGAAGAGAGGGCTCTCAGCTTTGGGAAAAATTAAATCCTATCATATATTGATGAGGCTAAGAAAGGGAAAGAGACAGACCCCAAGGACATGCAGTCAGTATCGGACTGGAAGTCTCCTGGTCCCTGTGAGCCCAGTCTTCTTGAAAACAACTTGCTAGATGGAGTTCAAGACTAACCTGTTCCCACCACCCCCACGACCCTCACACCCTGTCCTCGTGAAGCCTCTGCTTCACGTCCCCAGTGATGGGGGTTCAGTACCTGCCTGTTGTGTTGTGGGAGTGGCCACTGCGTGTGAGGGACCCCGAGATTGTCTTTCCAAGGCCCCATGAAGAGATGTCACTCCTCAGGCACAACACCACTCCAAAGCCTCACTGACTTCCTCTTGCCTCGCTTCTGAGGTCCCTAGCCCAAGGCCTACCAGCAAAGGTTGAAAAGCCATGGGGTGGGCCTCCCTGGTGGCTCAAGGGGTTAAAAGACAGCACTATGAAGCTACCCGCAGCCTCTGAATCACGGGTTTGATCCCCAGCCCAGGAGGTGACCCACATGGCACAGGCAGACCTCTCCTGTCTCTCCTGCTGCTCCCCCCAGCAATGTATCTCAGTAGACCCGCCTGTTCTGCTCCCCACTCTGTCTCTGGTGAATCCTCTCAACACCCCCACCCTCTGTCCTGTACCCCAGTTCTTGTATGCATAAATAAATCTTAAAAAGAAAAAAACCCATAGGGTTTTGCTGGGTTTCCACAGAGCAGCCAAGGCCAGAGCCCAGCCTGGGGAGGGACGCGCGGAGAACTGGTGAAGCTGAAAATCCCTGGCTTAACAAACAATTAGAGACGGTTAGGTTTAATCAGCAGCAAGGCCTTGATTTTCCTCCCTTCTCATCTGGTGGGGCCGTATTTTGGCCTCCATGGGCCAGATGCGGTTTAGCGGTTTATAATCAGTCTCCTCTATTTCCGAGATGAGAGAGAGAGGCACACCCGGCCATGTGCACCGGTGCACGCTCCCACACACACATGCAGAGCCACACACACCTAAACCAGGCAGAAGACCTGGGGTCGAGTCTGTTGTGCCAGAAAAAGTCTGGCTTGCGCATCCGATGTGGCCTAGAGAACGCAGCCATTTTCCTCCTCTGATTGCGGTGCAGCTACATCCCGCTGTCTTGGCGGCAGGGAAATGGTTTCTGTCGCTCAATGGTGCAAGTGACACCTTGATGGCGAGATAAGAGAACAGGGTGAGCTGCGGGGAAAGACTCAGGGTGCAGTGAGCATCCAAACCCAGAGGCTCAGAGAGCGCTGAGGTAGCTGTTGCTGGGCGATCCTTGTTAAATACTAGCCATCCGGGGGCAAGTGTAACTGTGGAGGAACAGAGTAAGGAGCACATGAAAGAAACATATGAAACCTTTGCTTCCAGCTCTGCATAGACTTCAGCAGGTACCTCCTGCTTTATAAACAACAGGTGGGCCGTGTTGCCCTAGGTGTGGCGAGTTGGAGGAGGAAGGTAGAAGAAGGGTAGAGACTCCTGGGTGGGGCTGCTCTGGCCTCTGGACCTCAGAGAAGGACAGTAGGCAGGGCTGGGGGGCACAGCAGGGAGAGGGGGTGGGAGGTGGGCTTGCTGTGTGTGTGGCTCTCAGGTGGGTCGACCTGGCCATCTCGTGCCTGTGGGCTGGTAGGGGCACAGGAAGCCACTCCATCTAGCTCTACACAGAGCAACCCACCAGTTCTGAGCCTAGAAGTTTCTAATTTTGGGTTCTCGATAGTGGTCCCACTGCGGAGGGGGGAAGAAGTTGGACAAAGAGTTATCAGTCCTGGGGGGACGTCCACAGCTTCCTCTTCTTGAGAACCCCTCTCCTCCCCTCCTGGGCCCCTCTCCACTCACCAGCCTCTTCTACCCCTGCATCCCAGGGCCTTTCCCACCTGGATTTCCTGCCCCCTGCAGAGCACTCATCCCCTCACCGGCTCTCACACTGAGTACCCCGTCCCTCTGCTGAGACCCTGTTCCTACCTGATTCTTGGACCCCCTCATTCAGTGGCCCCCCCATGGCCCCCATCCCATCACTGAACTCTGGCTCCTGCAGAAGCAGCCCCCTGCCTTTGGCCCCTCTCCCTGTCCCATCCTCCACCTGAATCTCCTGTTCCCTCCCTCAGACCACCTTCCTTCCAGGAGACCTCATTCATTCCCCTATGCCATTTAACAAATGTTCATCGCAAACCTACAGAGCCTGGCCCTGGGCCCAGAGATGAATCTTGAGGAGCCCAGAAAGAGCTGGGGTAGCCGGAGGCTATTTCAGATGCGTGTAGTGACTGCTGTGACAGGTGGATCTGGGAGAGACTCAGGGTAGAGGCACTGGCGTGTCCAAAGGCGTGGCGTGGAGGAGGCCTATGCCTTGTTTAGGAATTGGGCTGCAGCTCGGAGTAGCTGGAGAAATGGTTTCTAAGTGGAATTCCGGTGAGCCTTAGAGTTTCAGCTGGAACAGCCGTGCTCATTTGTAGGTTGTGTTGCTAAACCTAATTCCCCTTAAGGTAGGGCAGTGAAAGCCGCCTGGGGCTAAGAACATGGTCCTGGGGGAGAGGCTGCTGAGCTGGGCAGAGGTCAGAGGATGGAGTGTTTTGCAACCCCCAGGTTGAGGAGTTTGCACTTGACCTGACTAGAGCTGTGGATAAAGGGGAGCCACTGAGAACTTTTATCAGGGGAGCAGCCTGGATCAGGGCAGAGAGGTGAGGGGAGATGACCTGAGATGGGAGGCACACATGCCATGTAGAAGGCCAAGGGGAGGAGAGTGAAGGTCTAAACTAAGCAGTTGGGTTAAAGGATGCTGGCTCTTCCCAGGACACATGGGCACCAACAACTCTGGGCACCAGGAGCGGACATGGAGCCCATGGCCTAAGAAGTGCCCTTGCCTACCCTCTTCCTCAGCCTCCCCATGGAGGCCTGTCCCTGTCACCTCTCACTTTTGCCGAATACAAATTGCTCTTTTCAAATCTAGTTCTTCCAAGGCTACTCCCCAAAGGTAAAGTTATCCCTCATCGGGGTCATGACGAGGTCTTCTCCATCCCCCACTGACGCTCACTCAGCCTACCCTGAACCCCCATTACTATGTCATCCTGCTACATCTGTCCACCTGCCTCTGCGCCTCTGTCTCACTCTGCACACCCTCAGCCCTGCCTTCAGAGGGAACGCTATCCCTTTATGGAGTTTTACCCCATACATGGCTCCATTCAGAAATAAGGCCATTTCCTCCCTCCAAAGTGCTTTCTAGTGAGAGAAAAAGACATTTTAGCAGATAATAACCACATAAGGTGATACCTGCCGTGGTGGATTCAAGCACTGGGGGCCCAAGTGTCTGTGGGAACACAGAGAAGTACTCTACCCAGACTTTGTAGGGAGGTGAGATCAGGAGAGACTTCCTGGAGAAGGTGATTTTAGCTCTGAGGGTTGACGGAGCCAGTCAGATTCAGGAGGAGTCAAGAGTGTTCCAGGCAGAAGGACCAACTCAAAAAAGGGCACAGAGATGTGAAGTGGTAATGACGTGTTTGGAGAAAGGAAAACAGTTCCACCCTGCTTAAGGGTGGTATTGAGAGATGAGGCGGTGGGATCGACCATGAAAGGGCCGCGTCTTCATTCTCCTGGCAACATGGAGCTGCTGGTGGGTTTTAGGCAGGTGTGTGACACGTCAGTGTTGGGTTGGGTTTTTTTTTTTAAATATATTTTTTAAAAGATTTATTTATAGGGCCTCCCCGGTGGCGCAGCGGTTGAGCGCTGGGTTGCGAAGCTGCCCGCAGCCTCTGAGGCGCTGGTTCGATCCCCAGCTGCTCCCCGGCCCCCGGAGGAGGGTCCCACACGGCGCGCAGACCTCTCCTGCCGCCCGCTGCTCCCCTCAGCAGTGTACTTCGGTCCTTCTGCCTGCTCTGCTCCCCGCTCTGGCTCTGGTGAATTCTCTCACCCTCCCGTGCTTCTGACTGTACCCAGTGCTTGTATGAATAAATAAATAAATCTTTTTTTAAAAAAAAAAGATTTATTTATACATACAAGAACTGGGGTGTAGGCCAGAGATGCAGAGGGTGAGAGGATTCACCAGAGACAGAGTGGGGAGCAGAACAGGCGGATTGACTGAAATACACTGCTGAGGGGAGCAGCGGGCAAAACAGGAGAGGTCTGCTGCGCCATGTGGGTCAGCAACCCGGCTGGGGATAGAACTCTTGCCACAGCGGCTGGCAATAGCTTGATAGCACTGAGACTTTAACCCCTGGGCCACTGGGGAGGCCCCAATGTTGGTTTTAGAAAGATCTCTAGAGTTGAAAACATTGGGAGACTGGAGGCAGTGATACCGCCGGAGAG